AAAAAACATTAAATTCACTCAAAGAAAACAAAACACACCAATACTGGAGACAAACTGGGACTTGTACTGGGAACCAGTCAGTCCAACTGCTTATGTTAAAAACACAAACTTAATATCGATTAATTCATACTGATTAATACTGATCAGTATTGATTTAATATTGATCAACACGTTTTTAAAACATATGTGATTTTCTCACTGCACTCTCTCAGATTGTTTTTATGCAATGGCACAATTTTTAATGGGACAGCCAATGCTGAAGCTCGCCTGAAGCTCACCTGAAGCTCACCTGAAGCTCACCTGTAATGTGAATCAGATTTTAACCCAGCCCTCCATCTTTGACGCTCTAAACACGAGTGAGACCACGAGTGAAAGTGTACGCTAAAGATATGGAGTCATGATTAAAGTCATGTCACTAAAGACACTGCAATCGGAAACCTGTTGAAGTCACGTGACCTCCTCAGGTGGACTTTATTTTGAACATATGTGTATCTAATTAACTTTATTCTGATTTTGTGATCTGATGTGTCTGAAAAGCGTTGCAGTCGGCCATCAATATTGTTGCCATGGTAAAAAAGCTGAAGTGCAGCTTAAACTGTAATAAAATCAACAGTTCCATTTCCTTTCAGTTTGTTGGCCATCATTTGTGTATGAAGCTATGACATCACACTGAGGGACAGGTGATTAGCTGTGTGTGTGTGTGTGTGCGTGTGTGTGTGCGTGTGTGTGTGTGAAGCTTTCTCTGATGTGAATGGTTTTATCAATTCTCAGAACGCTTTTATTTAGCTTTTATTTTGAAAGACTGAATGGGAAGAGATTCGGTCTCACAGAAGAACTGCTTTTATTTTGAAGGTATGTGTGGATGGCAGCTTCCTTTAGCTCCATCCCATCAATTAGCTGACTGCCAGTCATTACACATCTGGAACATCTGCAAAGTGTCAGGTTGAGCTCTTAAGGAGGAAATTAAACTCAAGGATTGGAAGACCACGCTGTGGGAGGGGCTTTAGTTATGGGAACAGAAGGTGATGTCACAGACTTCTTGTCATATTGATTAATGGAAACACTGATTGGTTTGAAATCTAACTGGTCCCAACAGCTGTCAGGTGAGACTGATGACATCATCTTCACAACTTGGTGCTTGGCAATTCGTCGTCACCTTCCTCCTGTCCCAGAGGGGGTGGGTCATCAGATGCCCTGAAACCTGTGAAGGTGGGGCTGATGGGGAACCGCCGGAGCCAGCGAGTGCGTCTGAGCACGGGCATGACAAAGGGAAGGTCGTAGGTGGAGGAAGAGGAGGAGGAAGAGGAGGACTTCCACTTAACCAGCCCTCGCTCCTCTCTGGTGCCTGACGACAGAGGAAGAAAGCAGGACTGAGAACC